AGGAAAAAAATGGGATCTATTGGGCTTTCACCTGCACTGCCTTCGCCTAGGACATTAGAAAGGGCGACCCCCTATTTGTTCGTTTACCAGGTTCAACACGAAATCATAAATAAGCTTCGTGATACGCTTCTAAACTGGAATCATTGTGCAAACTTTGGTTTTTGTTTATGCAACCTGTTTGCATCGCTTTGCGCTGAATTGGATGTGGAGAATTGAGCCTTTTTTCTATTAATTAGTAGCTTATGTGAAGACTAATGGTAATTTAAAATATGCGAATCATATTAATTTCTTTGTGTTAAGGTCGTCTTTCGAGCACTTYCGGTTCGCTATTCCCTTGTTAATTAATGGGCTCCTAAGTCTAGAGTCATTGATCAATTATCGGGCTGGTTTGCAATTTTTGACCTCATGAGTCATGGATAAAGTTTTATATGTTTCTTATTGGGCCAATGATAATGAAGATTTTTCCATTTCAAAGTTTTTTTACTCATAACTTGGGCTTTTATAATCATTTATTTAATTTCTCGTCTAAAGGTCTTGTTTGTTTTTTTTGAAATTTCCTCTTAATCAATTCTTAAGTCTAAATCGTTTAGACATTTTCATTTTCAGACTGTTTGTTTTTATTCAAAATAAGAGCTTAAATGATGTTTCTTTTTTCTGAATTTGTAAATGATAAACCAATCACTTAATACCTCTTAAATCAACTCTTTCTCGCCGATGACTCATCTTACTATGATCCACGATTCTCCTCACGACCAACACAATACATAATCAAAATCTGAAGGTGATGAAGAAGATCCCTGCTGATATCCCAATATCCTTTTTTACGAATCTCATGATAAAATTGTAATCGACGAATTAGATTCAGATTCCATAAAACAACTGATTTCAACTCCACCTGCCATAAGGAAAACTCTGAATTTTTTTTGTTATTTGACTAAAACCTTGAAAGAAATAAATACAAATCCATGTTGAAACAGAACATCGCTATAACCAATATGACTGATTCAGGTTTCAAACTTCAGACGTAAAAACAAACAGTCTGACTGATTCAGATTTCAGACTTCAGCACCACCTCTTAAAAATCAGAAGTAAAATCACACTTCAGACTTCAACACCTTTTAAAAAATAAACTTCACCTAAGTATTTAGTTTTGGTGTTTAAGTGGCTCCTATACTCTATTGTTGGGTTTAGAATTAAGTCGTTGCTCGGTGTTTTTGAAGCATTTCTTAGGTGGTCAATATGTAATTCGAGGGGTATGTCCTTTGTATTTTTGTTATATTTGTTTTGTTTAATGAAGTTTTTCGTGGGGTGCCGTCCCTTTTTCCAAAAAAATATTGTCCGGTTGACGATATGCAAAATGTGACATAACCGCAGTGGTAAATTTTTACATAGTTTATGTTGGTGTCAAATTTAAAAAAAGAATAAAATGAGAAATGTTGTTTGTACGATTGTTTTGAAATTATTCTGATTTGTTCAATATTTTTATTCCAATTGAATATATTTTTTGAAGATTTTTATTAATTGTTCGTAGTTGGTTGTGGAACCATCACATACTGCTAGAATATCTGCTCTCATAGATGGAGGAGTGAAAAGCCTCATCGTTGTCGTCCTAAATATATGTCTGATGTCTCGCAAATCTGGAAAAGAAAGAAGGAAAATCCGAGGAATAATCCCGTATTTTGAGGTATCTTTTAGGATACATATTTTCACAAACTATCTTTATCTGTTTTTTGCAGTTATTATTTTTATCCTATTTCCGTTTTCAGAAATTTCTGATTTTCTAGTTTTTTTTTCCTAATCTGGGTTTTATATTATATGGATTCTGTTGTGATTCACAAGCAAATACCCAATATGAAAAACGCCAATCTTTCCTTCCAATTTCTTCTTGTATCATGTTAGAGAGATTACTCTTAAACTAAACCGATTATTATGGAAATTGATCAAATATTTTTGCAATGTTACGGGCTGTTTACCCAAATGCTTACAAGTGTATATTTATAGGAGTCAACACTGTAATTTATTTTGATGATTAAGATTTTAGTACATCAAAACGTATTAAATGCAACAATTTACCGGTAAACGCTTACTTGGGTAAGAGTCGTAATCTTCACTTATTGGGTAAGATTCTCAATTCTTCTTATCACTCTTACCCGGTAAAATTCTTGGTATTTGTCCATCCGATAAGGAAATTTATTCGATAAGCACTTACCAAGTAAACGTTTAGTAAACGACCCCTAAAAACCACTAATTAATGCATAAGTCGATCTTTAAAATACAAGAACAACAAATGATATGGGTTAAAAAACACCGTTATCGAACTATTTGATTTCAAAACCTTTGACCAACGGAATATATTAAATTTGAATTTATACGTCATCTGATTTACAATTAAATCGCAAGAAATAAAATTAGCATCGAGAGAGACGTAGAATAAAACAAAACTTGAAACAAAAATGCCTTTTCGGGTTCTCGGCTTCATAATCGAAATGATTAGCACAACATCTTATACGGGTACGTTACTAGTAATTTCTTAAATAAGACCCTAAAAATTTCATAAATTTCAATGGATGTACTTGGTTCTAGCTTGCGTGTTTCGAGTTCGAGCTTGGTTCAAGTTTGAGATTGGTTCATTCAAGCTTCAAACGAGTTCGGGCTTTAGTTCAAGTTTAAAATTATGTTACCGAGTTCGAGTCGACTTCAGCTGTAAACTACTCGTAACTTTTTCGAGTCAAGTTCGAACCTGAAAAATGACTATTATTTTGCATCTAAGGGGTTGTTTGTTTACCTTTTAATAGTTCTATTAAGAGGCAGTCTTTGAATCGTTAAGAAGTTAATCTTGTTTGGTAAAAAAAGTCTGTCTTTTAATGGTTCTAAAACCCTCTGAATGATTTTGTATCATGGGCCTCTCTTAACCATTCAGCGTCCTAATTTCGTTGTAAATAATTACCAAATAATTATATTTCATTTTGCACTATATCATGAAAGCCTTTTAATTATTCCAAACTGATGGCGTCTCGACGTTCTCCTTGAAGTCGTCCTGTGGAACGGGTATAAGCCTTCTAAAGTAATTTCTCGCTTGTCGAATATTCCAACAGGTGACAGAAAGAATGCAGCTAGATAGAGAACTATATGACCACTTAATCATTCTGCACAAAACCATTCAATAATCAACATACCTACTCGCATCATTCACATCCCTTAGGTAGCGTTTGGTACGCAGACATAATTAGACTGGACAGGACAAGAGGATAGGTTAGGACAGGACATGACTGGACTGGACTGGATGGGACAAGACTTGACATAAGAGGAGTATGTCTGGTGTTTGGTACGACTAGGACTGGACGAGACAGAACTAGACAAGCTACCTCCAAAAGTTATTTGATGATTTTAAATATTATATAATAGTTATAATTAACACAAATAAAATAAATAATTAAAGAATTTAATTTATAAGTATTTGTACATAGTTTTCATATTTGTACCAAATTTAAATGAAAAATTTGATATAAACTATGGTAGTAGTGGTGATGGTGGAGGTGGTTTTGGTTATGGTGGAGATGGTGGTGGCCGACGGTAGTAGTGGCACGGGCGGTGGTGGTCGGTGGCCGACAGTGGTTATGGAGGTAGAGGCAGTAGTGTTTGGTGGACGACAGTGGTTATAGAGGACATGAAGATGGTAGATTGTGGTGGTGCTGGCGGATGACAACGGTGGAGGAGGTAGTTGTGGTTGATGTAGTAAAGATAGTGGTGGTGGTGGTTATGGTGGAGATGAGGTGGCAATGAATGGTGGTGGCCGATGGTGGTCATGGAGGAGGTTGTTGCAGTAGAGGAGGATTTGAAGGTGGCCAACGGCGATAGTGGTGGTGGCAATGGACGGTGGTGGTCGGTGGTTGATTATAGTAGAGGTAGCAATGAACTTGGTGGACGGTGGTTGTGGAGGTGATGGAGGATGATGTTGTAGTGGAAGAGGAGGTGGAGGTGGCCGCTGGTGACTGCCGGTAGTGGTGGCGACGACCGAAAGTAGTGGTGATGACCATCAAAACAAATACCATATTAAAGTTATATATCAAACTAGGGTAAATTAGTAATATTTTAATTTCTGTCTCATTATTGTCTCGTCTTCTTTCACCTATTTTGGTTGAACAAGAAAAAAAACTATTTTGTATTATTTATCACACTTTATCACAATTCTTGTCTCTATCTCGTGTTATCCTAAACATAAGACAGTGAGTTTTTGTTCTACCCCATGTAACACCAAACATGAGACAGTGAGTCTCGTCCCGTTCCCAATACCAAACTTAGCCTTAGTTCTAGATTGGAGATTTGGAGGAGTTGGGGTAGGGGTGCTCAAAAACCCGATGAACCCGATGAACCCGACCAACCCAACCCGAATTTTTAAAAAAACACCCAACCCGAGGTAACCCGATGCATGATCGATAAAAAAATTAGCCAAACCGACCTTATTGGGTTGACATCGGGTCAGGCCCAAAAAAGCCCGACCAACCCGATGAACCCGACCTTAACTTTAGCTTTGAATTATAGATAACAATCATGACATGACCAACCTCAACGTCAAGAAAGCGAAAGCATCGGGGTTGGAAACGTCTAAAACTATTGTTATTGATTGATGTATTATCATTTAGTTTGAATATTTTTATTGTAATATCTAAATATTTGATGAACGTGCATATTATCTTGAATAGTCGGTCGTATTTTAAAGGAAAGTTTCCTTTATTTTTATGTGATTTTACATTGTTTAAACACAACCCGATCAACCCGACCAACCCGATCAACCCGAACGGGTTGGGTTGGGTTGGGTTGAACTTTTGTTTGGGTTGGGTTGGGTTGAAAATTTTCAAACCGCCAACATTGGGTTGGGTTACTAAAACGGCTCCAAACCGATCAACCCGGGCCGTGAGCACCCCTAAGTTGGGGTATGGGCTGGATGTGGACGTTGGGGTTTTACAGCATTTTGGGTCCAAGACTAGACTCCTAAACTGTTTCAGATGGTACTTTGAACAGAAACACAACGGTTGATGCCGCCATTTCCGATGTTGCGGAGGCGCTTCCTCTGCACTCAGACATCTAACTTATCCTTGTTCAACCAAAAACCCGTCGGTCGACAATGGCCTATAAAACAGGTTACAAAGTCCAATTTCTCAGATTCACTCCATGAATTGAAAAACAAAATATCCGATTCCGATTTCGTGGCGGTTTCTTTGCAGAACACCGGTTCTTACTCCTCCCCGTGGCATCGACTTCTGCCCTTTGACACTGCTGAAATCGCATACCTGAAGGCCAAGTATGCCGCCGAGAGGTTTCAGATTCTTCAGTTCTCTGTTTGCCCTTTCTCCGTTAGGGCTTCTAATAAGCTTACAGCTTACCCGTTAGTCACTGATACTCCTCTCTCGCCATTTATATGCATACGTCTAATCCATATATATTAAAATGTTGTTGTATCGCATCTTCATCTTGCCCCCAATTTATTTGACTGCAACTTGAATTGGTATTTCTGAGTTTATTGATTGACTCAATAACACTTATCAGGGCTTAATAGATAGTTGGGATAAGAAAACCTTGTATATCACCTTTTGAATTCATTAATGGCGTCAATGACAGGGCTGACATTATTAATCTCATCATTGCATTTTTGGATTTCCTTAAATATTTGATTCACTGCAGTTTGCCATTTCTAGAGGATCATCAAATATTGGTTAGGTGTTGGAAGCAAACGAATATCAGTTTCAGATTGTTGTAACCATGATAGAAGCTGATTGTTACAAGTAGATAGATCCATTACTCTTTTAGATTATACATCAGGTATTAGAAAATGCACTCAGATATCACTTACATGAACTCGCTGAGATGGGGATATACAGGAAACCATGAAGGATTCTGTTCATAATACTCAGAGAGTTCAATCAAAGGAAGTGCTACTTAAACCAGGAAACGGAGAGCTATTTGAACTGCTACCCTTATTTACGTAGAATATGAAATTCTTTCATCTAGAAAGTTTAACAAGGTGAAATCTTGGTCACCCCGTCTGCTGGAATTTCATGGCCGGGGACTTGGACCTTTACAGTATCGATATGCATATGCCGCTGGAAGTTGATCATGTCTTTATGAGATTGATTGTTAGTTCTCTAATATCTTCAGTGCTGCCATCTAAGCATCCAATATACATAGTATATTAGTAATCTAATATCTTCAGTGGTTCTCTCAATCTAGGTTTGTGTTTATGGCTGTAGATTTAATGGCAAAAGGTCAAATGGGAAATCCAGTTTCAAGTGTATTTGTTGAAAGGATTAAATCCATAGTTGTTAAAAGCGGGCCTGAGGCGCGCCTAGGCTCTGAGGCTCATAACGCTCAAGGTCGTGGGCTTTTTTCAAGTCGAGGCTCAGCGTATTCACGAGGCTCACTAAGGCACGGTGCCTTGGCTGAGGCGCCTTGTGGGCCTAGGTTCGCCTCATAAAGAGTTACTTAATACCTAGTTAAACCCTAAAGATTAAGTAAGTTTTTTCATCTTCTCATCTCTTAGATTTTTAAAAAAAAAGTTTATTAAGTAGATGACATAACTCAAACCGTAAGTCTCCTTCTCTATAAATACCCAGACCTTAAAACTTCTCCTTCACGGCTCACGCTTTAAACCCTTCTGCCTCTATCGAATTACTGTTGGTTGCTGCATAGGAGACTTGTTGTGTGTAACTGTGTGTGTGAGTGTGTGTGTGTGTATTGATAAGATGCGCCTCGCATTCTGGAGGCCCGCGCCTTACGCCTACTCCTCGCGCCTAGTCCCCAGGACCCTGTTGCGCCTAAGTGCGCCTTGAGCCTTTAACAACTTTGGTTGTCACTCGTTAACAATAATAAGTTGATGGGTATCTGCTATGCTTTAATAATTCTTTATGTCTACTTTTCAAGTTATAGTTATCACTCAAACTAATGATTAACGCTGTTTTTCACTTCCTGTGTAGGTTCAACTTCCATTTGTTCCCTAGGGATGAGCATAAAATAGGGATGCCGTGTTACAGTTTTTCATGTCAACCATCCTATTTAACTTCTATGGCTCAAGAAGATTTTGACTTCAATGTCTGTATATATGATGGTAAGATTTTGAGCTTAAAATGGTCTGACTTTATGATGGCATGCTTCTCTCTGAGTTCCGTTTTCTTTACTCTCGCGTTTAAGGTATATCATACTTGTCCAGAGCACAAGAATCAGCAGCAAAAGGTCAAATGGAAAATCCAGTTTCAAGTGGTTACGTGGCACAATCTCCATCCTCTCGTTCAGTTGCAGATAATGTATTTGTTGAAAGGATTAAATCCAGAGTTGGGCACTGGATAAGTGCTTGTAAACATTCAGACACGAGAACTAATGGTGAACAAATACCTTTATCACTTCGTTATGACTTCACTTGCTTTTTTTAATTACTTCTTGTTGTCTGCAGATGTTCTAGTTAATTCCCTTAGGAAACTTATATTAGGAGGTGAAGATTATGGATTGAGACCATCTCTGAACATAGATGTTTGCAGTGAACGTCAAGTGCAGCTTGTATTTGAGGTCAACTCTTGTTAATGAAACAATTTCAATATATATCTTTCCAATTTCAAATATTTAGTAACAATGGGTACGAGCTACAGATGGTGAAGTCCGGATATGAAAATGTTGTGCCTTTGATAATCCCAGCAAAAGGAGGCGGAGCCCAAGCTGTCCGAGTTGTTTTAACAAGTTCAAAAGAAGATAGAGATCTGTTAGAGGTATTAATACGTGGGTATGTTTCAGTTAGATTATCAATGGAATTTGATTTTGATTTCCAAATTGCAGAAAGAGCTTCAAAATATGGAAGAGGAACAAAGCAAGCGTGTTCGTGGCTTTCGGGAGGTTATTGATTTGATTTCCACTTCCCGGAAACCTGTTGTTGCTCACAAGTCCCTTAACGGTCTATCTTCATATTAACAATTTATGATAATCTTCTACTCTGTTGTTGAAAATTCTTATCACTAAATAAATGTCAGATTTTTTTTTTGCTTCATGCAGACTTTACATTTATTCATTCCAAGTTCCTGGCTCCACTGCCATCCACAATGGACGAATTCAGAAGCTCGTTGCATTCAGTCTTCCCCAACATACTTGACGTCAATCATCTAATGAAGGAAATCGGTCCTCTAAATAAATACACCAACGTACCTGCAGCTATTTCCTACTTGAAAAGAAACTTCTTTGCACCTATAGAAATAGAGATACCTCAAAAAGGTCAGTCAGACATGTTAACTGCAGCGTAATTTATACATCACATGCTTTTATTTATTCCTTTCATCCCAAAAAGCATCTATATTCGGCTTGTGAGCATCAAGTATGTTGATTTCTGACCAGATTGATAGATCATAATATATTAGTATTTACAAATATTTGGTCATCAGTCATCCAGTTATACCTTGAGACAGACTTTGGATGTTACCCACATCCAATGTGCATATGTTTAAGTACAATAGACGACTACTTACCAAATTCTTTAGAGAACTTAAACTGCTGCTGACTAAGTTTTGTGCAGGAACTTGTATCCAAAGTGCATGTTTTTGTGCGCAATTTAGACGCTTGTTCATCAAATTTTGTGTAGAATATACTATAAATGAAGTGTTGTGAACCTATATCATCAAAAGTTCTTGAATCTTGAAATCCTAGGATTAAATATCATGAAACAAAAAGAAAACTGAAATTGTGGGGTCAATGGAGCATTTCTTTTAAAAAATACCGTAGGCTAGTGAAAACAATCCTACATGATGTGGTTTCTTTAGGCTGCTAGATATGTGTTATTATCTCCTTACTTCTATGTTTCTACAGCTAGTGTGGAGGAAAGCAAGAATCATGGCCATAACGTTGTGAGAATAAGCGAGTTGTTTGCGAAACTCTGCTTTATCCTAAAAATCGCTCCAGAAACCGAAACCCACAACCCTGATGGGCCTTCAACACTTAAATGCTACTCCAATGTGTTAAATCTTGGTTCCAACAGCTTCCAAGACTCTAACGAGGATGATGACATCAGTGCATGGACTCATAATCCAACGAAAATCAGCATCAACAATCTGCTTTTCTTGTGGGGTTTCAGAAGTGGCACATCTGCCAGAAGATTGAAGAACTTGCTCTGCAAGTCCCACGAGAAGTTGTCGGAAGATGTTTTTGATGTTCGACTAGTGGACAAGAATTGTGCTGTTGTTGTGTTCTGGAAAACAGGACTGTCGGAATGGTTTCTGACCACCATTGATTCTGGAGATGGCGAACTCAGGGAACTGGCAGCAGAAGGGTTGATGGCGGTAGGCTACGAAGCATATAAGAGGGTCTGTAAATCTGAGATTTTAGGAGCAGATTTGGCAGATTCATTAGCGGAGTTTGATAGGGAGGCCTCGGAGGCTCATACAGAGGAGTCTGCCGAAGTATACTGGAACAATGAGCTGATGATCAATTTGGATGATCTTTGAGGTTCATAGGGTGCATCTTTCGACTTTTGAAGTTGAACAAACTAACTTATTCGAAGTAGATATAAGATTTTGATTTTTATATTTTATGGTTAATGCTGCTAACTTTCTGTTATAGTAATTATTGTGTATTTGCGATTTGGTGTTTGTTAAATTTCAAATCATATCGGTACAGTTTAAAGATATTAAAAGCTTAGTTAGATGGTCAAGTTGAAAAAGTTTTCATCTATTATCAATATGCATATACATCATCTCCTCGCTTGTCTGGTAACCCTGATCTACCCTCTGTCTTTAGTCTAGGGTTCTTTGAGTTCCCAGATCAGAAACACTTGTAATGATTTGATTTGGTTTGATGCATATTTTAAAGAAATAACAGGTCATCAAAATCGATTTCTGGAGTACCCAGTTGCAAAATTTTTCAGTCAGCTTGATTTTCAGCCTAAGATTCATACTTGGATCTAGTTCAGGTACTGCTACTGCTTTTTAGTCTTTGTTTTGCATTGAATTTGATCTTGTTTTTTACTGAATTTTTGGCTTTCTAATTAATTGTGGGTCTTTATCAGAGTTGAAGTTTCTGTTTGTCAGATATTGACAAAGAATTGGAGGAAATCAACGGATATGTGTTTCTAAACCGTCTGTTATGCACTGACCCAAGCCCATTAGTGGGAATATGTTCTAGAAGGGGTAGTTCCGGTATTATTTTTATCTAGAGTTTGTTATGGCTGTTAGCAAATAGTATTAGTGTTCTTAGGAGAGTTCTGCCCTCTCGAATAGACAGAAGCCTTGCTGAAAAAGCTTGGCAGCAGGTGTAGATGTGTCTAAAGCTAGGATGTTCTAAGTAGCCTCTTCCACAAGTAATTGGATGAGAAAGGATAGTATTTTTGCATTCAAGCTGAGAAGAAATCGCAGTTTTGAATGAATGCATAGTAGATTCTGCTGCCTCCTTTTGCTCATCTGCAATCTTCCGTTGATTCACTGCTGGATGTCTGACATCTTAGTGTGTTTCACAGTTATTCAGCTTTGAGATGTATATTTCTACTTCCGCCAATGAATCTATTCCAAGAATTGAATCTTTGTTGACCGCCAAATCTGCAATTTTCAACTTAAGAATTGAAGAGGGTCGTGCAATGCCAAATTAGCATTGCAATCATCTTTGAGTACAAACTAAACCCTCTGAAAGTAACAACAGGACGTAAGCTGTAAATTACGTCCGATGTATTGTAGATAATATTTGGCCGTGCTAAGAGTTCTGAGCCAAAAGATCATTCCAAGAGTAACATTGAGCATTGAGGTTTGTCTAATCATCAATCTTTCAAACTCGGCATTAATCAGAATTTGGGTGTTGATTCGATGATCGAGAAACCGTGTATAACATCCGAGGTGACAAGTCTTGCCCCACAGCGGTCGATGTTTCCAATCAACTGGACTTAGGCTACTTTGTGGGCTTAACCCAGTGTCCTTTAATGCTGCCTTTCTTGCAATACAGGTTGCTGAATCCGCTCCATTCACCACGCTTCTCTCAGTCGAACTTGAGATTGTAACCGGTTCCTTCGATGGACCCAACTAGAGGTGGTGGGGGATATATATATAGAGGGATGTTATTCTACACCCTTTGCCATTC